GGACGGATAAATCGTACGCCGGTTTTAAGCAATGCGCCTGTCCATAGTCGACGCAGTACCACTCCAAGCTTTAAACCGCCAAGATCTGAGAGACTACCACTGCGTCAGCCATCCTGAGACATAAGTTGATAACTCTCATGTGCCTGTAATTTCCCTGTAATTCAATTTTGATTAGCTTGATGTTACAACGTAAAAAGTCAAATAAATGTTTCGAGTTCTTAGGTTTTCACGATTGTTACACATAGGAAATGAAACTATTTTTCCGGATTTAGATCGCGTATATTAGTTTTTTGAAATAAACCGACGTTTCGGGCCCGTAACAGGTCCTATAGTCACGGTTGACTGAGGTGGTACAGTCTTCAACCAGTTATTTCTAATATTAATGCAAACCACCCTATTTTTCGCTATAGTTACAATAGTTACTAATTGAATACCTCATTTTTATTTTTACAAAGAAAACATTCCAATTAACGCTATATTAAATTTTTAACTGGTTGAGGACTGTACCACCTCTGTCAACCGTGACCATGGGACATGTAAAGGGCCCGAAACGTCGGTTTGTTTGAAAAAACAAATATACGCGATTTTCAAACAAATGTTGTTAACTTTCGTCCAAAATCGGAAAAAACTTACAAGGGAGATGTTGTTGAATTTTTCAAGAATTAATCTCTACTTACAATACGAATAGTAATTTGAAAATTCGAAACTTCCTGCTCTGTCTAGGGCGAAAAGTGACCTGCCAGCCCGTACAGCTGGATGCTCATGATATGTCGACGAAAATAACAAAACGTATAACACGAGTTGGTAAGAAGTGAAATATGCAACAGTATGAACGTTTCAGCTGCAATTTCGGGAACACAATTTCATCTTCCGCTGCTGTGCACGGTGCACGCAAATACTCCTTGTCTACGAATAGAGAATATTCACATTTTTCAATTTAAAACTCATATTTGAATTGTTGCGTCACTGGAAGAAATTGTTTTGACTTTACTGTGCAAGGAGATCTTGGAAAATTTTTTCGGAACTTAATCGCGTATATATAAAAATATTTTCAAACAAACCAATGTTCCAGCTTCTATACTTTTCTTCTTCTTTGTTTTATTTCTCAAGTCAACAATATGTAGATTGAGAGGACTTCAGATTATTGTGGTCGTAAGATTTAATAACCGATCGACCACATTTGACTTACATGTTGGAAACAGATGCCAATCATTTTTAACCGACTTCAAAAAAGGAGGAGGTTCTCAATTCGACTGTATGTTCTTCTTTTTTTTTTGTATGTATGTTACGCGATAACTCCGGTATTTGTGAACCGATTTTCATGATTCTTTTTTCGTTGGAAAGGCGGTACTTCCACAGTGATCCCATTTCATTTTGAAGAAAATTATCCACCTCAAAGGGTGGCTGTTTACGTATGAAGATTCATTTTTATAAATAGCGCCTAACTTTAATTTAGGAGCAATCACTTTTAGCAATTATTTAGTTGATTTTGCTATTTCTCCAATTCAAGGCGTTTTTCTCTCGATATACTTTGAGTAGTGTCGTAGTGAGAACCTATTTTTATTATCTCCAGTATCAAGTCCTGTATAGTGGCGAACTAGGGGATATTTCAATGAAACTTAGCAAATAGACGTAATTCCACGTACTTTTGAGGTCGGTTTTTTTAGTACTCTGTACTGAGATTATTGAATTTAATATATTACCAAGGACAATGCGAGCGACAGTACTAATACGGTGTTTCGATATTGGCGTCCAATAATAGTGCGGGAAAAAGCGTTGCACATACCAGCAAATTGCACAAAGCCAAATGAATAGCGTTTGTGTTTTGCTAGTCTTCAAAAAGTTACGCTATTTTGAGGATCCTTTTATTTTGCAAAACATCAACAGTGAATACAACTGAATAAAGTTCTTCACACTAAATGTGCCTTTCGTTATTTCTGAAACGTGTTTCGCGTGTGTGCGTGTATTATGTAGCTACAGCTCATGCACTTCAAGCACACAGGCCAGTTACTCAACCCACGATAAACTGGCCAATAAATCGTATGACAAACAAGGGTGCGGGGGGCGTGCGCCGCCGGCGACGAGCGATGATTGAGAGCCAATCCAAGAGAACATTCTACATTCATATCACAGAGCGTCATGAACAGCGACAGTCGTCCACTGAACTTGACATTGTTGTAGAGTAACAGCGCTTGTATTGAAATATTGTGATAGGCTGGATGTTTAAGAGTAGTGAGTAGTACGTTGTTTTGCAACGCAAATATGTACCTATATTTCACGCCCTTTTTACAAACACGACAGCATGCTACTGGCTATCCCAATACATACCGTTCGCCTCACGGTGTACTACTTACTATATAATATCAGTTACTGTGGTATTTTATTCCAAGCAACACACTTCTCTCGTTGTTTTACTGTCAACGGCACACAGCATTCATTACACCTCAGAATCATCTAGACGTCACACGTGATAAGAATGGTCCAAATTCAAAGCGTAAAGTCTTATCTCCTGTTTACAAGACCGGCTGTTAAAGTTGTGCCACTATGTTGGCCCGTGCTGGGGATTTAACCCGCAACTACCAACTAATGTGTACTGCACAAAAAGGTAAATTTGATACTACCAATTTTTAGACTAATAAACCATTTTTTCCAAAAGATCGTCGCAAGGCGTAACCCCAATAAATAACGAAGCCCTGTACTGGTGCCGACACGTTGCTTGTCTCGGACGAGCGGTGACGATAAATTGTCGAGCGACAAACGCCGCGGCCGCGCGACTACCGCTGCGACAGACGGGCCCAGCGGTCGCCCGACGAAGTCTCTCATTATTTACGAGACTTATGCAAATGCACGAGCTATTTGTAAGCTATGAATATCAAAATTAGTCTTTAAACATCGATATACTTGTAAAGAAATCCCTCTTTTGAAGCTTGGTCAGTATACACAAAATAAATTGAAGATTGACGATCAATTTGATTTTCGTTTTATACGTTATATCGTAGTGAATCTGAGCTAAATGAATTTATAATTTTAGTCAATTACGGCTCTAAATTAATGGGAACAATGAAATTGCGCCCTTGTAGGTTTAACTTGAATGAATGCTTAACAATCCGTCGCCAAACGGAAGTCACCGACTGAGGTCTAAGATAATGCTCAGATAATCCTGGCTTATTTAAATGGTGATCCCCGACTGAATTACAATCGGGAATCAACGGATCCGATTCAGGTGGGATTATTTCTACGTCTTATTATATAATGGGCGTCATTATGTATTGGCAGTCTATGTAAGGCCTGCCTTAGTTTTGTATTTAATATGGGAAATATGCAGCATTCATACTGGCATACATTTTCATGTATAGAATTTAGTTTCATATAAATTTGACAACTAGACATGAGTTTTTATAAAGATACACACTGTACACTAGACAAGCCTGTATGTACAGAGTGATGTTCCTTTCATACAAAATTAAATGGAGATTTTTTTTAATTTCAGGTACTCAACGCTGCAATGAACTCTTTTCTCACATCGAGACGTGAAGACTTTCCTTTATCTGCTTAATTATATATTCGAGTAGGCCCAGGCCCATCAGGACCGACGGTCATTCTCATTAACATACCATCTGCTAAAATATTCATTCCATTAATACATTTGAGTGCATCTCGACAAGTAAGAGGTAGAATCGTCCCAGGCTTAATGTTTTGAGAATGACAAACACGTATTTTGCAGACATCGTCAAAGTTCATCATTGGAACGACTTTATGGCGTTTTTTACGTACATACACGATGTTAGGCTACAACGAACTATGATATTCCAAAGAAGCTGTAATAGAAATTGCAAAGTTATTACGTCTTGACCAAGTTTTGTGACAAACATCGTATATCTCCGACAGACTGATATTAGTTTAGGCATCATAATAATGGCTGTTATATTATTAGAGGGGCCCATTTCATGTTACTGTTTTTGACATAAAACGAAAGCTTCTTTCAAAGGTAAAGATACAAAATAATCGTTTTAATGAGTTACTGTTCTCTTTTGATTCCATTTCTGTGAATTCTTATAAAGACCATTAGACGTTAGCTGAAATCGAGTCCCGTGGGAGTTGTCTATATATATATATATATATATATATATATATATAAACCTATTAAAATATAACTAGAGCACAGAATCCTTTTATTTACTTGCCCGTTCGTTACGAACTGAAGTACGAACAAACAACGGACCCACGGCACACAGCGGCGCGAGCACAAGAAGGCGCTTAAAATGGCCGTCGACGCGGCGGAGGAGCCGTGCCGCCTGTTTATTAATTATAGTCACTCAATGCCTTAATGCCGAGAGATTTTAACAACATTCACTTACTAAAAGATTAAGAAAGCAATATACTTATTTTGCTCTTTTCCCTTTTAGTTAAATGCGTTACCATCACGCGTATAAAATTTAAGAGAAATAATGTGCAGTTTTTGTTAGTACAACGAAGATAGACTGAGATTCATTTGACTATGAAATGAATAAAGAATCAAAACTTATGGTTATACAGTATTTTACCTTATGCCAACTATTGCGATCTCCATAATCCATGGTGAATTTTACACAAAGTGAAGCTGCTAAGGACTTCAGGGGAGAGATTTTAAATATTAAAGGGGATGATCGCTGCGCATCGCAAGGTCGCGCGAGCCACTTAGCGCTTGTGTTACAAATGGCCGCCTCTACAGGTTTCTGGGAAAGTACCTCACTTACCAGTTTAGCTATTTAGCGAAGATTATTGGACCAATTCACGCGAAGAACTAAATTCTGTGGCCACGATGTATTTGGCAGTAAACAACTTATAAGGAAATTAAATTAAAGAAAAGTAAATTAAAGCACAGAACAGGAAACTAGACAAATATTATGTTGGTGTAACAATAATAATTATTTAGGGTAATGGTTTTTGAGAGCCTTATTGAAACGACATGACCCAATTGAATTGCCGGTACAATATTCAACGGTTGTGATGTATTTCAGGGCGCACGGGGCGCATGAAGGCGCGCCTGCTGCAAGCCAAGTCGTTTCTAAAAAAGTTGCGCTACAAAGGTACGTCGTAGTGGGTGCTTCGCTAGACAGCAGTGTTGAATTTTTTTATGTTGTAGGTTTTGTTGTGTGTTGTGTGATTTTCTTTTGTGTCTTTCTGTTTTTATTCTAGTAGTTTATTTTATAATAACTGATTTGCCTTGATTTTACGATTCAATGAGGTTCTTCTATTTTCATTTATGCTGTAAAACAGGGGTATATTCTTACTCTTCATGTTCTTTTCCTATTAATTTTACGTCAATTTTCACCGGCAATAGCTTTCTTTCGATTCAACATACTGTAACTTTTTTAAGTCACTATTTTGAAGGAATTGAATTGAACTAACATGTACACATTTTCTTATTTTGAATTTAAGTGTTTTATTAAATATTGGAAATGTACATTTATTCGTTATTGCAACATCGTTTCTAAATGGATAATTTCATCAAAGATTCGTAGTTTTGAAATTCAAAGTAAGCTCAATGCAATGAAGCTATCGGCGAGCCACTGAATAATTCAGCGTCTTCGCAAGTTAAGAGAGAGTTTGCGGCTAACTTCGCACGTATCGCGCTGCGCTCTTGCGCTCTAGCCACCACCGGCACTATTCCGAAGTTGGTCGTCTTCAAGATTTTTTACTTTGGGATAAACTATGCCGTGTCTATTCTTAAAGTTTGGCGAGAATTCGTAATGCCAGCGACAATACAATGTTTAAAATGATCGTCTTCATTGAGTCAACCTTTACTGTTATCGACCAATATAATTTGTACCCTTGGCTTCATTGTGACTTCACATGTTTTCAAAGACTTTAGCCTTCTTCGACATGCAGGGTTCATCAAGGTTTAAGCAAGGATTGATATATAGAGTATTCAAAAAACTCAGTCGTGCAGTCGTCCCGGCTAAAATCGAACCCCTGCATTCTCTCAATTGTGTTTTTAATTCAGCCATAAAACATTTTTGAGTTCCTGTACCCCATAATGGCGTTACGACTAACTCATTTGATAACTAAAAACAATCGCTGTGTATTTCCATAAAGTAAAGCAAGAACGTTAATGGGCATTGATGGCTGTTTCTGACATTAGGAATTTCACTCGAAAGGGCAAAAGAAGCGCTGGCAGTGCACGCAACGTTATTAAATTTGTTACCACCCCTGATGTTGACACCTTTCCAGGAAAACTGTTAATGTTTTGTTGAATGTCTCTTGTATAAAAGTCTCTTGCATGAATGTAATAAAATATTTCTTTAAACTTTATATAAATCTTTGAAGCGTTAATGAGTTTTCCATAGTGACATAACTCCATTTTTTTTAGATAAAGATATAAATTCGACTAAACTACGCCGTCCGATCGACATAGCTACGCGCGTAGCTAATAAATTCGTAGCTGTAAAACGCTACGGAGCGTAGCATCGTAGCTCACAGTTAAACGTCTGTAGCGATAATATTTGAGTCAGCACCGAGTGAGTGTAAATCCGAGTGAGTAGAAAGTATAAAATGAGTGAATATATCACAAGTGGTTACACAGAGATCTGTCTGTAATACGCAGGAGTCAATAGAGCGTACATAATAATTAATTACGCAGGCCGGACGCACCGAATGCGGTTTACGTTATGAGTTACTTTTCTTATTTATTTGTTCTCCTACATTGCATTTACTTATTGACTCTCATACTTTAATTTCAATTATCGTGCACGCTGCTGACAGTTGTTCCTTTTATATTGCGTTTACAAGACGTCACACGAACCGCGTTTGGTATGTGGGATTCGTTCAACGGATTTTCTTATTTGTATCTTTATCTAGAAGCTTCCTGAGAAAGTATGTAAATACGTTACTATATTAAAACTTATAAAATATTAAATGTTTTTACGCACCCTCATAATTTAACAGAACGGACTGCAGTGGGGGGACCCTCGTCATGCATCGGAAGGGCCGGTTTAGTCGGAGAGAATATTTCATACCCCATCGTGCTAGTTCGGCCCTGATGTATAGCGCATCTAAATACTTTTTATGTACCTTCCCAGCGATTAAGCAGGGCTGGACTTATGACGTGGGATTGCAATAATAATGTTACTACAAATTAATACGTACACGTACATTGATCCTGTTTTTCCGGACAATTCAATTGTTTGCATTACCATCTAGTCGAATTTTTTTTCGCTTGATTCTTCTTGTGATTGTAACTGTGTTGCAACACTTGGGTAATAACCAGAGATTGAAATGAGCAAAGTATATTTATCTAAATTTTAAGTAATAAACATAGAGTGGATAATACCAGCATCGGAAATCCCGGAATAGTTAAAAATAAAAAGCAAACTATCCAAATAAAATAATATTTATATTTAATAATATTTATTAATATTAAATAATAATAATATTTTTATTTATATTTTTACTTACAATTGCAAAAGTATTATTTTTGATACAGTAACTTATTATTTTAGTACAGTACCTACCGTAGCAACTTCTCTTCACTTCGCTGCCGACTCAGCGACCCGGAGTGAATCTTGGCCTTCGACACCAAAGTACGCCATTTACGGGTACCGTAGTAAAGTATTTATTTGCTAATTACCAGTGATCGGAAATGAGGAGGAGGAGAGTAAGTGTAGCTAAACTAAAGAATAATGTGGACATTCCCTTCTACAAATCCTAGGACTTCCTAGGAATTGATTACATTTGAATACGCGTATTATTTATTGAAATTTGAGTCGATAATTCGACAAATTGTTATTCCTTCTTATGTAATTGCTACAAATTATTGTCTCAAAAATAAATATAAATAATAGGGGTTAAAGTATGAAATTGCCGATTTGTACTGAAAATCTAAATTGTTTATTTTTTAAATTTTTAACAAATTTATTTAATCAAAATAGTTGCCATTATTATCTATACATTGCTGCCATCTAATGGGAAGGTTATTAATGCCTTTGCGATAGAACTCCGACGATCTAGACTGCACAAACTGTGTGAAAGCATTTTGTACTGCCTCCTGGGAAGAAAACTTCTTGTCACGTAGATAATTGTCCAAATCACGAAAAAAATGGTAGTCCGTTGGAGCAAGGTCTGGTGAATACGGAGGATGACGAATGGTTTCTAACTGCAGTTCCTGAAGGGTCAAAATGGTTTCTCGTGCTGTGTGAGGTCTCGCGTTGTCGTGGAGCAATAATGGTGAAGATCGATTCATGAGTCGGGGCTGTTTTACTGCTAGTTTTGTCAACATGGTTCGGAGTTCGGCACAATAGACATCTGCCGTTATTGCTTGACCAGATCGGAGAAAACTATAGTGAATAACACCATGCTGAGACCACCAAACAGTTACCATTACCTTTTTATTGGTAAGTTTTGCTTTAGGACACTGTTGTGGCATTTGACCTGGGGTCAGCCATTGCATTTTTCTTTTCCGGTTACCATAAAGAATCCACTTTTCATCACATGTTACAATTCGATCCAATATTCCTTCATTTCTGTACCGGTTCAACAAGGCAACACAAGTTTCAACACGCGTTTCTTTCTGCAGATCAGTCAAATCATGAGGCACCCATTTTTCGTATTTTTTTATTTTATTGATTTGACGCAAGTGAGTCAATATTGTGGGTAAGGTAACGAACCATTAAACCATGCCGCTAATTCCTGGGTAGTTTGACTAGGATCGGCTTCCACTATCTCTCTTAATTCATCGTTATTCACCTGTGTGGGCGGTCTTCCTCGTGGCTCGTTCTTTAAGTCGAAATTTCCATCACGAAAGCGTTTAAACCAAAATCGCACGGTGCGTTCATTAGTAGACCCCTCTCCAAACGCAGCATTGATATTGCGGGCTGTTTCTGCCGCGTTAGTTCCGCGTCGGAACTCGTATTCAAAAATCACTCGAATTTTCGCAGTATCCATCTTTCTTGTCTAAATTGAATAACAAAAACGATTGAAAGTCGATATTCAAATGTTTCAAATTTAAAAAAAAAATCACAGAAACCATTTGAAAAAAGTTTCATTCGAAAACCTCAAACCATGAAGATTCTATGAAAATTCAAAGAACCTATTGCAATAAAACGGCAATTTCATACTTTAACCCCAATATTAGACAACATCACATACGTTGCCTTGATCGCAAAGTAAGTAACTAAAGCAATTGTGTTACGGAAATCGGAAACAACGACGGCACCACAAACACCCAGACCCGAAAGAATAAGAAAAGTTAGTTTTCTACATTGACCTGACCAAGAATTGAACCCGGGACCTCAGAGATGGCGACACCATGAAAACCGATCTGCAGGCCACTCGAACACGGAGGTCGTAGTTGTGTTTCTAAAAGTACTTACATATTTCAATACTTTAGCTATTTAAAAATGTACTTGGAATGTTTAGAAAATAAGCAGTAAATACGCCTTGATGACGAAATGGGTATGTCCATACTAACAAAACGTTCATACTTTAATTAAACAAATCCCCTCAATTGCTAATTATACATCGAAAAAATAAAACAGGATAATGGGTTGGCCAAAAAGACCGTGCAGTTTTTGCCACTAGCTAGCTAGCTGTAAACAAAAAATATATATATTTTAATGTGATATTGTTAATAGACCTTAAAAATATCACATTTATTATCATAGGCGAAAAAGCTTTAAGTTTATAATTTACGAAAAACGGTGTTGTATTCCATCATGATAAACCCAATTTATACACATTTTTGCAAAGCGTTAATAATTGTTGCAATATACCATCTCACAAAGCCCTGTAGAGTTACTAGTTTCGGTCTTTATAAAATTTTTTGAATGGACATGACTTTGGTAACGAAGAGACCATCAAACAACATCTAACGCTCTATTTTATAAGTAAAGACGCAAATTTTTGTGAAAGAGAAATTCTAAAATTACCAGAAAGATAGAAAATATTGTAGTAGTGAATGATTTTCAAATGTTTTTTATTTATACTTTGATATCGCACGGACTTTATGGCCTTAATTCTGGTATATCTTTATATTATGTATAAGAAAGTTTTATCTACTTAAGTGTATTACTTCGTTTAGGTTAATATACTC